CGGTACTATATTATGATTGTTTCAGTGCTCATCAATAGATACTAATTTTTAAGATCTATGTTTTCTATCTTTTTAATAAGTTTTGAATAAGTATGTGCATCTTGTCAGCTTTTGATTCTATGAAAAGTTCCAGATCACATATAAAATCAAAGAGAACACTCATAGGTGGTGCAGAAATGACCGTCATGGTTGGACAGCCTTTTTAGGAGTCCATATAACAGGGCAGTTCAAAAGATGCTAAACAATAGTATGCTTTTTTTCTGCCACTATCCAGTGCAGTATTTTCAAATTCGTCCTCTAGCTTATAATTTTCAACTATGTTAGCTTGAGAGCAGTTCCTACTTTACCTTCAGACTGACCTGAAAGAAAGGACAAACTTATACATAATATCCCTCATACTCATTCACACCCATTCAAATGTGGCTGCCAGGTGCTACCCTAGGAGCATAGGAAAGTGTTTTAATACCATTGCTTTTTTTCATTAAAAATGTAGATGACTGTAATGTTTAAGGGCTATGTAGAACCATCTGTCCTTCATTTTTCCATGAATCCATGCCTGCTAAGGAGAAGAGGAAGGGAAAAAGGTGCTAACTTGCCTTTTTTTTTTCAACAAAACTTAGAATCCCTGAATGGATGAAATTGGAAGGACCTCTGGAGGTCATCTTGTCCAAACCTCCTGCTCGGGCAGAGTACTTAAAAAGCTTGTGATTATTATTTTATTGTACCAGCAATTGAATATATACAATGTGATTCTGTAAAAGTACAGAGAAATTCTGTCACATCAAAGGACATATATTCGTGTAACGTCAGTCTGAGTATACAAATGTTTCATATTAAGTTCCTGTCTCTTTATGCAGGACCAATAGCTTTAGTTTTCCATGTACAAATTGTACCTGTACACTCTGTGTACATATGTAGATGTCGGCTCTCTCTTTAGACCTGCTTCTTTTTGTAGTACCTGATGTAGACTCCTTAAAGAAATTCACCCTGTATTTACATTTGGGGGTCCAGAAAATTTATCTTTCCAGTTTGTTCTCTTCACTGGGAAATTCTGTTTTACTTGCCAAAGCTCTTTGCTCTTTCCCATTCAAATAATGATTTTTGCAAAAATGTTAAATTATTTTATCGGAAGTTAGAAATACAACTTATTGAATAAGTGACAACTCAAAAATTGTCAATACTTTCCATGACATTTATAGAAATTGCCTCAGGTTTTTTTGTTGCATTTCTGAAAGTTTTGTAATCTTATTTCCATAAATATTCATTGATAAGCACTTACTTGAAGAAGTGGATGAATGAAGTGACTTTGTTTAAAGCTGACAGTTTCCTTCATTATCGTGACAAGGTGTATTATATTATTTATGCCACATGCTATATAACAAAAAAAAAACATTTTAGATTCAGCATATTTTTTAACAAGTTATAATTAAAATTCATTCAGAACTATGGAACTTACACTTTTCTGTTTGTTTTTTTTTTTTCAAGCAGTATTTGAGAAGGCTCCGCTATGATTAGATTACTAAGTCAGGTATACAAAAGAACTTTTCACAAAATTGTTAATAACTGATTCTCTCACATTAACATTGAATTTTTATGATTTAAAATAACTGTGTTTTCAACTAGAGAAAAAAAGGTATATAGTGTATAAATAGTTTATTGTTGTAGAGCACAAAGTGGAATGTATTTTGCGTCCATTTGGTACATACTGGAACACTGTAAAAAAAAAAAAATTAAAATCATTGCTGTTTATAACGTATCTTTTTGTATTAAGAATTATTGCAGTAAAGCTAATTCCAATTTAATTTAGGGCAAAACTTTTTGATAACAAAGGGTTTTTTCAAAGTTGGTTGAAAAGCTATGTGTAGTACGACATTTACTTTTCATCCCATCACAGAATTAGTACTTCTATTGATGTCATAAGATATTAAGACAAAACTTCATATTGTTTTGATACCAGAGATATATTTAGACATGATTTTTGAAAGCTGTCAGGACAGGTCCACGTCTGCTTTAATAGTAATTGTCATTAGTTTTACAACTGAGTTTTGCGGAAGTAGACAGACCAGTACAAAGTCCCAGCAAGTTAGGAAAGAACAGAATTAAGCCAAAGGTGAACTTTTTAAAAACTAATTTTATATATTGTCATTAATATTCAAAATAAACCGTAACACAGATACTTTTAAAACCTCAGACAGGTGAGAAGGCTGATGACAGACATGCTCCTTGCCTTGCCACAGGATGTGGCCACATTCCCGTCCCTCCTTGGGGTGTGGGAGATAAAGGAAAGAAATGTTGGAAAAGTATTGATGATCATAAGAAATCAGTTTTTCAAATGTTGTGAAACATTTGCATGAACATTTCTGTGAACAAATGGGTTGCAAGTAGGAAAAATAGGACAAGTATGGCAGTAGTATGGATGGGGGATGCTGAATGAAAAGGAAATTATCAGTTGTAAAGAGATAGAAAAATAGGTGACAGTCAAATACTTAGCTCTCAGATGTCTCACCAATCCTAGGAAGATTAAAAATGAAAAAAAAGAAAAAGTCTTCCTCACAACTATGGCAAATGAATATACTTGTGCAAAGGAGCAATAATTTTGCTATAAACATTTGTTTCACTTGCCAGTGAAAATATTGTGTAGGCTTTTCTGTCACTGAATCATTTGGGATAGGAAGCTTGCCACATCACAGTGTTCCAGTGATACTGGTAATGATGTTTACATCAGTGAAAAATGCATCTCCACATGGTAAAGACCTCTTAACACTGCATTAAAAAAAAAAAAAAAGGAAAAAAACCCTAAAAATACAACAGCAAGAAGACAACCCCGAATCCCTTTAAAACTGTGGATTAAAAGGCCCTAATTTTTCTCCTCCACATTCTATTTAGTGGCTAAAAAGGTATAGAGAGGAAATCTTTGCTGTATAAGGTCTTTAGAACTGGTCTCTATAGAATTTACTGCTATTGTATCTCTTGAAACATATGAGCTTCTCAATAAACTGGAGTTAAATATCCATTTATGTCTTCCTGACAATTCAGACTGGTAAACACAAATGACTGAAGTTTACAAAGAGAGTCATCAAATAGTTGTGTGGATGTATGAATAAAGTAATTTTTGGAAGATGTATCAGAAATTATAACATTTAACTGGGAATACTGATGTTGAAAAAAAAAGAGAATTCATGTTAAATGGCAACTTTGAACATTGTGAGTGGGGAAATGTATAAATGACATTATTTAATTGCTGTGCCATTATTTTTATTTATATAGTCTTTTTTAAGTCTTTCTGAAGAAAGGAAAGTAACTTTGAAGTAATATCTGTTTATCTGCCTGTTCATCCATGTAAATATATACATTGAATTCTGGCTTATTGCATAATAACATTCTGAAGAACAGTTCTATACAATAAAACAACCCATACAATTGACAATTATATCAATTGCACAAGAAGTAAAATGGTCCCCTTTTGAAAAAAAGTTTTTACTTTTCCATTTAAAAGTTCTATCACATAAACTAACAAAGCATATATTTCTGTTAGTATGTATTGATTTAGAAGTCTTCATGAAAATAATTTTCAAATTGTATTTGAAAACGTAAATAGATATTTTCTTAAAAATTTGTAAGCAGCAATATGAAAGCTTAAATGATATTCTTAATCTGAAAAGAGTCCACAACGTATCAGGGAGATGGAAAAGAAAGAAGAGGAAGATGATAGTAATAGCCCCATTAAAACATTTATATTATATTACATTCTATTATGTTTTGGTGTCTTTTACAACAGTATTCAAGTAATCTCCTGTCAGAACAATCTTGCTCTTCTTTTGGCAACAAGCATAGATACAGCTGCAAACGGAAATGTACCACTCCACTGCTGACTCATGCATCACTCCAAGGCATGGTACACTAAGTAAGCAATGCTGATGTGTGACACCAGCGTGCAAAAAGCCCAGTTCCACTCCCCTATGGAGTTTGCTCAGGACATAGCACCACGCAAGGCAATTGTCACTAGCAAATTTCTGAGCTAGACTGACACCTTCTTGAATTATCTGGGTGCATGAACCATTACTGAGGTGAATTTTTTTTCCCCCTAGTTTGTTGATCAGATACAAGTCCTCTCCTTTATAAGCGTCATCTAAATTCACAAACACAATAGTAGTTGTTCTTCCTAGAATCACACTATTCAGAACACTCTGTAGCATTGTCGTCTGTTATGGAAATGTCAAGTGAGTTGAAACATTAAAATATTTTTTCTGAGATTTGTGATGAAGTAAAATTAGCTAAGCATCAGCTTTCATAATGCAAATAAAGAAAGTAAGATCAGGTGGGGAATATGTTTGTTTTGAAGTGTATGAATGTATTTTCAAGGTACCAGGCTATACAAAATGAGTTCCTAACCCTATAATCATTAAATAATATGTGTAATTTTCCTCATAGTAATTTATTTAAGAGTAAGTGTGTGCAACTGTTTGCAGATTAAATGGCTTTATTAACTTCTTTGAAGACTTTTTCATTCTATTTTAATTCAAAAAATGACCTTTACAAGAATAAATACTGTTTTGGCAGCCTCTTAAACCGTTCAGTAATTCTGCTTAGCACCACTGCTAATTAATTATATGTGGAAAATGTGGAAAATGACAACTTATATCAACTATTCTTATGCTGAACGTTTAAGATGTTTCTCTTAGGCTGCATACTGATACTCTCAGTGTTGGAATGTTAAGATGTGATGTTATTTTTTATTAAAAAATGTAATTTATTTAATGACATATGACCATATGGGAATCTTGGCAGTAGGAAAATATTGTATAGAGAAGATGGTTTTTGTGATTTTTCTGATGAGGTTGTATACATGCTTAATCTTCAGAACTGTTTATTTCCATTAATTTCTTAATGGTTAATTTCTAAACATCCTTTAGCCTCCTGGCCTACAGCTTAAAAGCTTTAGAAAATGCTGTTCTTTGGGATGAATTTTATTAATACATTTTAATTTTCTTTCCTTCAAGACACTCTTTTTAATGGTCTTGGACTTGGTGCTGTCATTGGCCTGGGAGTGGCAGCCCTTTTGTTAATCCTGGTTGTGACTGATGTTAGCTGCTTCTTTGTACGACAATGTGGATTGCTAATGTGCATCACCAGGAGGATCTGTGGGAAAAAGAGTGGTTCAAGTGGAAAAAGTAAAGAACTGGAAGAAGGAAAGGCCGCTTACTTGTGAGTATCAATCACAAATTTTGGAAACGTCATCAAAAGGAAAAGTTGGCTGTCCAACTTATATTAACTTTGCGGCCCTTTTGTGGGGTGGCAAAGGGAATTAATAGAATGTTTCCATTACTTGGAAAAATGTTCTTCCAAAATGTATAGAATTGTTTGTGGTCAAATATTGCCTTAAAAGAAAATTGGACACAAAAGAGGTATTTACTATACTTCAGTATAAGATGCCCTCTTTGTGCAGCTTGACACAAAGGGAAGCAATTGTAATTCAGTAATAGTTGTAGGCACATCTTTGGTCCATGAAGAACAGGTTACAGATCATTTTAGCTCCATTTCTACAATTCCGCCTTTGAGCTACTAATACACAAAAACTCAGCATATGCTTGTGGCAGAGCCAGTAAATCTGGGAGTGAAGACATAGTATTACAGAAAATCAGTGAGTTTTTCTTCTCAGATATAGCACTTGATGGAAAATCTTGTTTCTTGCCCATAGACTTTAGCAATAGAAAGTATTGTTGATTTTTAAAAATAGGAGTGTTGTATTGGATATGGGTGAAATGCTGGTGAGCGTGATTGTTATTCACAGTAACAGTCAATGATTGCTAAACATAAATGGGGAATAAACAATCCTGATTCTCAAAAATACCCTTGTGTAGTGGCTAATTCATCGGACAAATGCGAATGAACCGATCATTTATGTGCAAATATGTTCCTTTAAATGATACAAGTGGATAGTGAGATCCCTTGCAAAACAGTTCAAGGACTGCTTGCATAATGTAATAGTACTTTAAAGACCAAATGTTTACAGGGTTTTCAAAAGGTAAGCTGGAGAGAGGATTACTTGTGGTCCCTCGTTTTAGGCAGTTCCAATGTTTTACTAAAAAAATGCTAATTTCCTCATTATGTTCATCTAATAGACTTCCTATGCATACACTGTAATATTTGTAAGAATGCTGTCTTTGTGTAGTTTAAATAATATTTGCTGGTCCAGTTCCTGTGTGCTGTAGCTTTCTCAGTAGTCAGGCCTTGCAGTTCATTCTCCCGCAGCTACCCAGATCCCATCCTTCCTCCAAAGCCTGTAAAACAGATCAGATTTTGCAGCCCTCATTATTCATAGCTGTATCAGGCTTCTTCACTGTTGGTAGTGGAGGTGTAAGTATCTTTTTTGGTGTTAGTTCTGGCTACTTGGGTTCAGAGACCGTGTCTTTCTTAGGTAACTCGATTACATTTTTTGGTTGGGTTCTCAACCCTTTTGGAAACAGCTCCATAGAACAAAGCCAGTCATAAGCAGGCACATCAAATAATGCTTCTGAATGGAATTTATGCCATAAAATAGCTGTTTCTTAATTTTCCACAGCTGACAGTAAGAGAAGGAATAAAAGCATTTTTTCTATTGTGTGAAGCCAGCTTGTCTGGGTCAATAGAATCAAGATGTGAAGCTTCTGGCTCTGACTCAGCTGTCCTTTTCTATTGAGCACAGCACTTCAGTTTATGCTTTCATTTCCCATTCAAGAAGTGACCAAGTACGAATTGGTGTACAGACCCTCCTGAATGGGAAGACTTTAGGGAGCTGAAGTTATAAATGTCACTTGACAGAGTTTATACCTTGCTATCAACATCTCATACCCAAATGTCATTCCATGCTGTCCCAGAAAAGTGTAAAGCTGGTCACTTAATATTAATTCCTCCGTGACACTTTTGCAAAAACGACTATCTTATTTAATTACATTTCTTTCCTTGTTGGGGTGATCTTCCGTCAGTCAGATCTTAAAATATTTGGGACTGTTCTTATTTTAGCCTTTTCTCTGTATAAATAATCTGTCAGGCTAAAATTTCAAGACAGGCTTGAAGAGTCAGAATTTGAATTTATTTCATGCCAACCGCCATTTCCTAAAAGACATTGACATTTCCTGTTTTAAATATGTCAGTTCGCATTCTGGATTTTTGAGTGGCTTTATGGTATGTTACATTTTGATTGTAGGATATATATAGTCAGTAATTATGTTCCATATCTAGTGAATGTAGATGATACAATGCATGTAACATATACATAGCCACCTGGAACAGGAATTACATAATGCATTTCCTACAAATCACTTTCCCTTCTGTAGAACTTTTGTCACTCAGTTTCTATGTTCTGTACAGGTCAATTCCTCAATCCTATGTGAATGCTGTTCACAAATAACGTCTCTTTTAGGCTTTTGGTCATGCAATAATACATGTCTGTCTGTAGAACTTACAATTCCCTTCATCAGTCCTACTATGATCCACAATCTTTTCACAGATATGAGGTAGCCATGACAGTTATGTCCATCATTTACAGAAATGAGCATTGTATCCAATTCCATATCTTAAAGTAGAATTTCAATTGCAGAGCTGAATAAGCACATGCAGGGTTGTTGGTTTGGGTTTTTTTTTAAAAAAAAAAAAAAAAAAGAACAGAATCTTTTAGACTTCTACCCATTAATTCTTCCCTAGTCAACTTCTTGGCTACACGTTTATCAGTGCTACACTGTTATTAACCTACAAAGATTTTCCTTGAGGATACCTACCAGAGGATGGTAGAATTTTCCAGGTACTTGCTGAATACATGGACTACTTCAGTTGCAACAGCCTGTTCATAATGATTATCTTTTCAGGAACAATACAAAAATGTGAGATATGAATTAGACAAGGTTTTAACTAGGCCTTTGCTACAGCACATAGCAGTCTGACCAGTCTCTAGAACATCACAAGTATAGAAAATAGTCTGTTAAATATAAAAGTGACTGTTTGTCTGTAACTCAGTTACGCTGTGTTTCCAGACTGTAGCTGATGAAGTTCCAGGATACAATTCCTGATCTGACGACAGTAGCAGGGGCGACATAATTACATGGAAAGAGGTTTTATTTTGAAAATCTCAAATATATCTTGGGTATCCTTTGATCTGCCTTTTGAAAGTAAAATTATATGCAATTTAATTAGTACTAATATTGTTAATAATTCTGTAGCAGTGAGCAGCTATTTCCATATCATGGCCATATATATTGAGAGCAGCCCTGTGGAGAAGGACTTGGGGTTACTAGTGGATGAAAAGCTGTACATGAGCTCTCAGTGTATGCTCACATCCAGAGCTACATCAAAAGAAGTGTGTCCAGCAGGTCAAGGAGGTGATTCTCCCCCTATACTCTGCTCTGGTGAGTCCCCACCTGCAGTGCTGCGTCCAGCTCTGGAGCCCTCAATACAAGAAGAACGTGGACCTGTTGGAGCAAGTCCAGAGGAGGGCCACGAAGATGATCAGGGGGCTGGAGCACCTCCCCTATGAGGACAGGCTGAGAGAGGGGGTTCTTTAGCCTGGAGAAGAGAAGACTCCAAGGAGACCTTATAGCAGCCTTCCAGTGCTTAAAGGGGATTTATAATAAAGATGAGGATAGGCTTTTTAGTAGAGCCTGTTGCAATAGGACCAGGGGTAATGTTTTTAAAGTGAAAAAGAGTATATTTAGAGTGGACATAAGGAAGAAATTTTTTTGCCATGAGGATGGTGAAACACTGGAACAGGTTGCCCAGTGAAGTTGTGGATGCCCCATCCCTGGAAACATTCAAGGTTGGGTTGGAAAGGTCTCTGAGCAACCTGATCTAGTTGAAGATGTCCCTGCTCATTGCAGGGGGGTTCAACTAGATGACTTTTAAAGGTCACTTCCAACCCAAAATATTCTGTGGTTCTATGATTATCAACACAAGCGTAATGACAATACTCACTGCTCCATCTTCCTTTATCCAATTAGCACAAAGGTTATTCATCTACTTTTCATTTACTTAACATGTGAGAGACTAGCATTTGTTCCTAAAATGGAGGAAATATGACACAGAAACAAAAGGTGTGAGCAGAAGGGACTAGATTCTAACCACACAAAGCCTCTTTCCCCCTTCTGGCAGCAGGGATTGTCACAATCTCAGGAGATTAAAGTACACTTCTGCAGTGTTTATACTGACATAAAGGCTCTTTACACTGCCAGAAAAGTTCAAGCATAACTAGGCATCAAGTTCTATATTTTTTATACTAGGTTAAGAAAGTTTATATCTACCACCATGAAAAGGCCATCATCTTATTATTTAGTCATAAACAAAACGCTCTTTTGAGATGCCAGTCCATGATGTTTTCAGAGTTAGGTAAGTAACCATGGATACAGGATGCTTTGAAGACTTCAGGGAATTGGGAACACACTGTTAAATTTGTTTCAGTTGTGTTAGTCACTGATAATTAGTTCTGCCTTTTCTTTGCTGACTTGAGAGAAGGGATTTTGGTAATTATTTATGTGCTATGTATGTGGTTAATATGATGATATGAGACTAAGACGTTTTTAATAATTTTTAGGAAAGATGGATCAAAAGAGCCAATAGTGGAAATGAGAACAGAGGATGAAAGAATTACCAATCATGAAGATGGGAGTCCAGTAAATGAGCCAAATGAGACAACTCCTCTCACAGAACCAGAGTAAGTAGCTTGACATTTCCTGGAGTTTCACACAAGCTTCTCCTGGCTGCGAGGACAAACTGGTCTTCCCATGCTCTAAGAGGGACATACACAGCATCACCAGAATGGTGTGCTGCGATAATGCAGTGTACGATTGTGATTTTTTTTTTTTTTTTAACAATAATCAATCTGAATTATGATACCCCACTTACAACAGCTGAGGTTATCACTAGACATTTTCCTCTCCTTTCTGTGACCCAGAGTATAACCACAGCTGAGCATTATCCAGCCCTTGGATGACAACATCATGATAGCAGCAATCCTGAAGCATATCTTTACATCATGACCTGTTTGGACGTTAGCAAGTATCCAGGGAAATTTTCTAGCCCTCCCTGCTGCCCTGACTCCTGAGGAGCTCCTCTTCTGCTCCCCCAAACCTTGTGTCAAGGAGTGGGGTGCAGGGAGCCCTGCCCTGCCCTCACCAGCCTACTTGTCGCCCCTGCCCAGGGACCAGGAGCCCCACATCAGTTCCAGCCTCATCAGCAGCCAGTGTCCAGCCCTCGCCCTGATGGGGCATGGACCCACACCCTGCTGCTGCCCCCAGCTCTGCCCACTGTATTCAGGGACTGGAGGGTGAGGGCAAGACTCTGCCTGCACTCTCTGGCACTCAGGCTTGCCCCTGCTGCTCCTCTGCCACTCCTGGCTAACCTCCAAATCCTGTGGGGAGCCATGGCCAGCACAGGCAAGTCACTGCCCTGTACCTTCTCTCTCCACCCTGGCACCTGCCGTCACGTCACCCCCAAAGCCCTCCTGACCTCGCAGTGGTGGCTGAGGAGGGGTACAAGGATTTTTTCAGTGGGGTGTAGCTGATCTTTACCACCCACCCAGAAGTTATTAACCACTCTGTGGGACTAATTTTCTGTCTCTTAGGAATGGCCTTAGCTTGAGTCACACACACATCCCCACGCACACCCCGTATGTAGGGCACCATGATCCCATGCTCCAGAAACTCAGCTCCTCACGGGGTGGTCCCTTCCTGCTCTCATTCACATAACTGAGAGCTTAGCTCAGTATTGAAGTCCACGTGGTGTAATTAAATTGATAGCACTGAAGGGCAGGCACTTTGCTCTGTTCCCTTATGCCCCCTTCCCATCCCTGAAAGCTGCTCTTAGCACAGAAACTGCCGTGGTTCTCCCCTGGGCTCACAGGCTCCGGCTGCCTCCTGAGTCATGGGCACCAGCCCTTGTCTTGGGGATCCCAGGTGCTGGTGGTCAGGTCCTCTCCTGAGTTTTGTGCTGCAGCCCCTGGAACAGATTAAACTGGGTAGAGTGGCTGGTGTTTGTACCTGAATAGCACTTTTCAACACCTGCATGGGTGATAAAGTAGCATTTGTGACAGGGCACAAGCAAGCTGGTATTTTGCTAAGCTTATTATTACAATGGGATTTTCTTACATGCATTCTTTTTTTCTTCCAAGAATTTAGTTTGAAGAGAAACTATTATTTCAACAAAGGTGATGACAGTACCATTCCTTCTATTGAGAGCCCACCTTGTGGTGTTAAAGGACATGAACTGATTGCTCAAGAGTTTAATTTCTGAGCCTCAAAAGTTCATTGATTTGAAATTATTAAAGAAAGCTCCAAGTTTCTTTGGTTTTAGCCCAAAGCTTTTTATGTGTTGTGAAAATCTCCTGCCTCATGAGATCTTAAAGCTGTCGGGGCTATGAAGACACTTCTATAGTAAATATAGAAACTCACATATAGATTTGATGGATCACAGTTGTTATTTTAGAAGGGGATGTTCTTATAAACCAGTCTTTTTCTCTTTCTGAAAATACAGCAAAATTACCTTCTTTGCTATGATCTAGAACTGCAAAAGCCAGAACCTTTAAGAAGAAAAAAGCCTGTATTATTAGCTGTCATTGGCATTTGTAGTAAATTGTTAGCTATCTAAGGAGTCAGGGGAATGTAGGTGTAAACACTGTACAACTCCAGTTGGCTGTGGGCGTGTTAGTGTGTAAGGCACCAGGGCCTCATTTTTTTTGTGCTTCAAGACTATTTGTAGCACCAGATCTTGCAAATAGAAATGAGATGCATCTAGCAAGGGACATAATAACAGAAAAGATTAAGATCAGTTCTTCCTGCTCATCCCACTCATTAGAACAGCTGACAAAAGTGAAATATGAGAAAGTTAAAATCAAAAATGTTTTGTTGTCTTAGGGGAGGGGAAAGAATCAGTCACTGGTGGCACAAATAAATAACTAAATCATAGGAACAACTGATAAGGAGTTTGATGGGTATTATGTCCTTGGGAGAACAGGACTGCTAAGAGTTATTAATAATGACGACGGTTTCCTTCTTGGTAATTTCTACTTCCACAACCAATGGCAAAAAGCGGCAGTCCAAGGTACATCTGGACAGAGGTCAGCTAAAGATTCGGCACAGTGTCACTTAGGAAACCAAAGATGAATAGAGCATCATATAATCAGGACATCTGAAGGGACACTGGTACTAGTGGAACATGGAAAGACCTTCTGCTCAGACACAGGTCATAACTGATCAAACAGAGAAGCAATATAAGTATGTGTAAGATATCACTAAAGTAAAGATGGATGCGATAGGGTAGAAATAAGTCTCTCAGTAGGAATAACACAAAACCACATTGTCAACAAGAGGTGTTACCAGCCAGAAAGGCACATGCTGGGCAGGGCAAGGATGACCAGTGGGGATCTTGGAGAGAAGAGCTTAGCTTGCAAGAAGGAAAAGTTTCAGGGTAATTCCAGGCAGTCAATGTTCATACAAGGTGGGATTGACTCTGACTAATTATGACTGTCTTAAATGTATACAAGATAAGGCTTCGGTTTAATTTAGAGGATATATGTTGAATAATTAGTCATGTTATTTTGAATAATGCCAAATTACACCCAGAACTTTAAAAGCAATTTAAGCATTTGTGGGAAATAATTAATAAAGACATTACAATAATAGAGTGTTTTCATTATATTGCTCAGCATACTATTCAGCAATCTACGTTTTACCTTAACTCAGATGATTCTTGTCAAAGCCAGGTTTGGGATCCATGAATGACAAATGAGCACAAAGCACTTTGTTGTGCAAGTCAACAGGTTTCAATAATGCTGTTGGGAAATCAATTTAAGCTGTGCATTTCATATTGCATTTCTGTAATATGATTAAAATACCACATGCAATGTGGTACTATAATCACATTCCTAGTCTGATGTTGTCGTGTTTCTAGTATCACTTGAGTTTTTCTTATTATTAATGAAGCTAGGTTAATTCCAGTATCAAAATGGCTAGGAGCCATTTACCTATGAAATAGGAAAGTAAATATTCTAGTTAAAGTTTTGTAGGGGTAATATCAGCAGACTGTTGTGCTTAGGCCACATACAGTGCTAGAAGAAGTCAATATTATTAATAATTGATAACAGCCAGCCTCTGATTAAAGCAAAAGAACCTTTTAAATTTGTCTAGTTTTTTTTTTTTTCCAAGAAAGCTTTTGTTATAAAATGCTTTAAGATTTGAAAGGATTAGTCTGCCCAGATGAAAAAATATAAAATTATTTCAAATAGAGGTAACTAAAGAAAAACTAGGTATAGGGAAATTTGTGTACTTAGAACATGTAAACTTGATTTAGTTAATTAAAAGAAGAAAATGATTGAATCTGTTAATAGAGATTAAATATGAATCAATATTTGAAACAAATGGAGAGGAAAATTCCAAAATAAAGGAAATGTTTTCATAATCAAAAAGGACAATATATAACGATAACTGAACTGATAACTTCATATCCAAGAAACCCCACACTTTTAAAAAGACAATAAGGTCAAAGGATAATGGATGGACTTTTTGATGAGGAAAACTTGTAAAACTTACCTGTTTGTAGTTCTTTTTGGTTTTTAGCTTGCTTGTATTGATAGCAATGCTAATTTTATCCCACTGTTTGCATGAACATGGATTTCAGTACTATCTAGTATCCTTCAACAGGGTTCTAGCAAATCTTCCTGTTTCAAGTAATTTGAAATTATTTGTAACATGCTTTTAATCCACTTCTCCAAAACCGCTTTATTTAAATTTCCACACAGTATATTCTGTCAATTGCCCAATTTTTACATTGACTAAATATTTCCTCCCTTTCAGCACCATCTTTTGAGGAATTACTCTGCCTTTCTATAAAACTAGATTAAATTAGGTCTTTTTTTGAAATACTAGTTTAAGTGCTTTGCTTTACCAGGCCTTTAACCTGATAAAGTAAGCCTAAAATGCATCTCATGAGCTGCGCTTCTTCTGCCCCAGTGTTTTATCATCTTTTAAAAATAGATTTTTGACAATTCTGTTGTTTCTGTTCTTTCAGGCGTTATGTTATGGGCTGAAATCTGTTTCCTTTGGGTGTGCCATGTGAAACACACAATTGCTAGAGACCTCCCTCTGTCCTCAAAGCCAGACAGCTGATATATCTCTCACATTTTACTATAAAAGAACAAGTTATTTTTCTCTTTGATTTCTCTCAGATACAGTTTGGGCTCATTGTTTAACCTCTAGATAAACAGCATCTTTCTTAGTTCATTTCAGACATCCTAAATTTTGTAAGACTGGGAATTCGGGTATTGCTTTTTTATTTGTTGTTATTAAACGCTGTTATTACAAGGCATTCCTAAGGGATTCCTCAGGCAGGTTTTGAACAGTGTATTGCTCTTTGGGACATCAAAGCAATCACAGTGGAAGTTTACTGAAACATTTAACAGTTATTATGAATAAAAAGGCATCTGCACACTATTCCCTAGTTAAAAACCAGAAAGCCAACCCAAACTGGAATCACGATTAACAGCTATTATTCCAGGGAGACATTATTACAGGAACATATGAATAAACCATATATATTTTTGACAGCTACATTTTTTGACAGCTAGCTAGCAAAAATAAGTAGTAGAAGTTTCTAAGTTATAAAATAACTTCCATTACCTCCTTTTGCTATAAGAAGTTCTTTCCTTTACCTATGTCTCAGCATAACCTCCCATGATAGATGTCTTCTTTCGTATACAATTGAATTTACATTTAGAAAGAGACATCAAAAAAAAGAGTATAATCTAGATTCAGCAAAAGGCTTGACTGTAAGTGTTTGACGGTATCCTAGGGAACACATATCTCTGTACCGTCTTGGGTCAAGTTATTTGGCATTCTGTTGTTTCTTTTGCCTTAGTAAAGAAATTGCATTTTGGGCAGCAACAATGTTCTTATCATGTGCCATTTAGCTTTTTCTGGCTTTATAGAAATGGAAAGAGTTAATATGAAGTTCTTTAAAAGCAAGAAAGCTCAGTGCTCAAAATAAAATTATTATAGATTATTTTCAATAAATTATGTTTTTAGAAACACTGTAAACTGTATAAGCAATACATAAGTTGTAGACTTAAATTCCATTTTATGTGTTATCATGATTCCTCTTTTCTTCTGATAGGAAGCTGCCACTAAAGGAGGAAAATGGGAAAGAAGCTTTAAATCCAGAAACCATAGAAATCAAAGTTGCTAATGACATCATCCAGTCAAAAGAAGATGATAGCAAAGCATAATAAGATAAACTACAGCTGTCTGGATAATGCATTTGGATTGAAGTAACCCCGTGACCAAAACTTTACAGCTGACCTTAATTTCTTGGGAAACTTAAGCTTGGAATAGTTAGTACATGTGTACATATGATAAAACAGTTTCTGTCTACAGTTACTTTATTTTTTTTTTTTTTTTTTGTTAATGGTTTTAGGATGTAGTTTTGCTGACACCAAGTCCCATGGTATAAATTTGAAAAATTTGCAGAATAAGAACTGTAATTTATTATATGACAAAGTATGTCTATTTAGAAGAATAGTTACAAAGCACCCCTAACCACAAACAACACATCAGGTCTTTCCAGATCTTACAGGGCAAGCTACATACATAAAGTGCCATATACTACTATATTTGTTTGCATTTATAATAAAACAAAAGTTTAGGTTGCCTTTAAAAAAGAGAAAACCAGTCTCAGTATAACATTTAAGACCTTAGCTTTGGCCGACACTCAGTAGTCATTCCAGCTGTGCTTATCACTTGAAGCAAACAAAAAGACACTCTTCAACATAGAGCCAGCTCCACCTGCAGTTTCACCTGGGTTCTTTGGTAAAATAAAAAGTTGATAACCACGATGTACAGATTTAAATAAAATCGGCTAAATATTTTGTAGCAGCTTGTTGGCCTTATCCTAACTACATGAGTGTGACTCTGAAAGACTCCAGGATTTTCAATGCTTTAGGTTTTCTGATTAAAGTTTTGGAGGTTGCATGTGAACTAAACTGCAGCAAAGGTGTGAAAAGAAAATCTTGGCTTCAAGCGAAACCTTACAATAAATGCAAGCTCAAATTATTTGTCCCAACATACTTATACATATACAGTATTTGATCTTCTTTTAATTCTAATCTTTTAGTCAAGGGATAAAACTGCATTTTAGTATACTAGATACATTTTCTCCCCAAATCAGTACATGAAATGTAAGTTGGCGTTATTAAAGTAGCACTTATTCCTTTATGATTTCATACCCTTTGTCTAAACAAGAAAACGGTAAGAAAAGGTGGAAAGGAGGACTTTGGCTAAACAGGAATAGTTTTAAATTATTAGTTAATAGAATCTTGTAGTAGACCAAATACATTTTTTCCTGTCAATCATTCCTTAAGAGAATCCTATTTATTATTCTGGTTAACATGCACTGCTCTGAAATTTGACTGATTTGTTTGATGCAAAATTCATTCATATTTATTATGACTGATTTAATGGTGCCACTAATTGGAGCAATACATTTTGTTTCCATTCCAGCATAGTTTATCCACACCTACCAAACTCTTCAACGTCTTGCTTTGGAAGAAGTAGGTAAACCATAAAGAAAACTAGATTGGAAAATTCTACTTGTCAGGAGTAAATTGTAGGGTACCTTGTGGATTTTCCACATCTAAGTCATACCTGACATTTAAATGTAGCTTTACTCAACAAATTACGTCTTCTCCATGCTATATCTGAATTTTGCTTATATTTGAAGTCCTTATACTTCCCAATTTCCCACAGAATGTCATCAAACCTTAGCTGATATATTGTAGTCATGGCAAAGTGGTTGACTTTTGTGCATTAAAGCTGAAAGTGAAATGTAAAAGTGATCCTTGAATTTGAGGAAAATGGCAGGTTAACCTTTGTGTTAACCCAAGCTTTAGTGCATTTGAAAGAGCTGAGGAGGATATATTTAATTCATAGATCTTTCTTATTTTTCAAAACCAAGTAATTTTATGGGGTTTTTTACAACTTTTCCTCAGTTTGGGAAATACCTACGATGAAACAAGTAGTTGAGGACAGAGGTATACCACTGGTGTGGCTAGGATAAGAGGCCAAGTTCCCACACAACCAGTACCAAAGTGAAAAGAACAGGTAAGAGGAGATAGCAATATGGGATGAAAGTCATGAAAGAGAATAGTTTAAAACTGCTGCAAAGAAGTTTCTTCAAATGCTAAGGCACTACTTCTGGGTGAAGGAAAGATGAAGACATTCCTTTATGACCTCTCACTGTTGCTCCCACATACTGAGCAGGCAGTACTACGAAATAGCTGCTTGTCTATTAAGTTTCTGTCCTGTTTCTTTCTGAGTAAGTATGCAGTGATCAGGACTGCCCCCTCACCTGTAATTAAGAGAGACCACTTGTCTCATTTATATATATGGATATATGTTCTTTCTACAAAGTATGTATTTGCAGCTAGGCTTTCTCCCTCTATCAAAATGCAAGAAAGGGACCTGGAAAATTCCAGCAGTTGAGAATAATGTGGTTGGTGTGGCTTGAATATCTGCAGCCCACATTATCTCATGCAGTATTTTTACCAGGATGAGGATGAAGGTAGGAAACATCCTTTCCTCTTCTACCTGCTATCACAAAATTAGGTGGCGCCATGTATATTTACATAAGCCATGCTTCTCTAGGCAAACAGTGCTTTTTCTGAAGCCAGCATGATCATTTGCACAAGGTTCCTATACAATGTGGGCAGAGCTAACAGTGTCTAGGCTCAACTGTGGATGCATTTCAAATTTTAGTACTTCTTGTTGAGACTCTACACAAGAAACCTTCACGGCCTAACAGCTATGTTTTGGGGGTTTTGTTTTTGTTTTTTGGTGTTACTTTTTTTTTTTTTTTCCCTAATATGGCTTCTAATTACAATGTGAAGGGATTAGAGAATTTAAGAGGTCTTGTCAGCACATTTATTATTAATATGCCTGTGCTACTCTTTACAAGTAAAATATACTGCAAAATTACTTCAATATTGGAAGCAAAATTGTTTCCCACTATATTGGATTACAAATCAAAAGCGATTTCCAGGAGTATTTATTTTCTTTCTTTTGTTAAGTCTTTTGCCAGTTGGTCTATGTGAGGGCTGAGAATTAAACAGTTCTAAATTACTGTTGGAATGTTTCAAGTATACCTTTTGGTCCGTGGATTAATAGGTTATCTCTTGTGCTCTGATTCTATCCTGTGCAGGAGAAAGCCAAACTATAACTATGAAAGAATGCTTAAAAACACTGATATTTGCAAATATTTCCAAATGAGGGACAGCACATAGTAATTTGTAAGATATGTGTAGAACTGAAATAACATCGTTTCTTTATTTTCTTTTCCTATTCTAGACTAAAAAGAAAAAAAAAAAACAGGTATCTGTATAAATGTCACTTTTACTGTCTAAAAGTAATTCTAAGTGTTAGTATGAAATGTCAGAAGAGTTGACAAAATATAACTATTTGTAAAAGTAATCTGAATTGTTACACTAACATACTCCAGGGACGAGGGTGGGAGGGAGCCATTGAAATTATTAATTATATGGAATGTGGCAGTGACAATCTCTCTTCAACAAAAAATGAGTAAAATTAAGTAAAATTACTTAGAGATTCTTGCTATTATTTTTTTAGTAGACATGCATACTGATTTACCATGATAGTAACAAAAGTTTTAATTAATGTTTTACAATTTAGTATACAAATGTACTCTGGAGAGTTTTTTCTGGTTTTGTTTGTTTATTTGTTTTTTTCAACTTTTGAGATTTTTTTTGTGGTTGCAGAAATATTTACTATTCTGGTGATGCTAATGCCTAACGTGTCAAAGGGTAATTTATTTAGGCCTCAGTCTTGCAAGAAATGTTGGGTGGCTGAATCTACCCCTCGTATGGCACCCCACTGACATCAGTGGGGTTGATGTGAGCAGGAGGATGGATGTACTTTCATAGGAGAGCCTGCAGGATTGGGCCTACTTTCTATCTCTTCATAGATATATACAACGTAGTTTCACAGTGACAGTCATCTACAAGGGCTGTTTGACAACAGTCCCTGGTATAGTAAATTCCACCTACTGTCTTCAGCCTCTGCATTGATGTTCATCCAAAAAAGTGGCTTTCTTTTTATGATGCTAATTACTTTGATTATTTATTTAAGTGCCAGTCATCAAACTGTAGTATAATAATCATGCCATTCTTCTGTTTCCTAGACCAGATAATGGAAATGTATTTGTGCCTTTTGATAGCATGCCACTCTGCTTTATTAAAGAAAAATCTTCAATAATTTGTCTACAAAGCTTGTTTAAAATGTTTGAAAGCTGTACCATGACATACTTTTATGCTCAAATGTGCTCAAATACTCATCTAAAGTAAACTGGAAATAGTATTCTCAAGTCACATAAATATTTTAAACACAAAATTTGCAAAAATATTTTGAGATCATAATTCTAGTGAGGGTCATAGTGGGTGTATTACTGCTGAAAACATTCAAGTAGATGGAGCACATGGGTGATGTGTACGGGTGTTTTGACCAATTTATCAAGTTGAAGAGTCAGATAGAAAGTCTCTTTAGTTCTATTTAGGTACTTAGACCTAAAGCATTAAAATCTTTTTTCAAATCTGAAAGAAGATGTGGAGCATCTTCCCACCATTTTACCTCTGGAGTAAAACTGCAGTGAATATTTGTTTCGCAGTCATTTGTGGCCTCACCATCTCTGTGTAAGCTGTCATAGAAAGTAATATCTTTGTTGAGTAATTGTTGTGTCTGTTGGGTGACATTCACTCCTGATTAAAGGGCCTCCAAAAAGACCATTTAGTGAAAAAGCTCAAGACCCCCCATCACGAATTGATCTATGGAGGGGTGTGAGAGCACTGCAAAAAGGGCCACAGTGGAATCCAGGTCTCACTGGGCTTTAAGGCACAGACTGACTTCAGTAGGGCTTGAATTTCACCCATCCATCTCAGTAAGGCTCTGCATGTCCGTGGCTGATTGAGTCACTTCTGTGAATCGGACTTTTAGGTGTAAGTGCTACTCAAATGTCATGGCAGGCTCCTGCTAAGATTTTGCAGAGGAGGTTTTCCTATCAGGAGTTTGTACTGGTCAGGAAACGTTGATAAAAACATCTGATCACAGTTTTATTCCACACATTGCTATATGCCCAGAAATAAAAGAAAAAAACCATCATACTAAATAATTCATTGTGATTGCGATACTTCTTTAGGCAAGAATCAAAACATTCTAAGTAACATTTCTTCCTAAATCCCTTTGTTTAACTTCAGATACTTGTGCTGATCAATGCAAAGCTACCATGGTTAAATAAATCTTTTTTAAAAAGGATCCACCCCCTTTTTCAGATTTTTCTTATCATTTCCTGGAGTACCCAATCCACTTGACAGCAGTTCTGTAGTGGTGGGGGGAAACCACTCAGTTTTAAGTGATCTTCAATATTTCCACTGA